TCGGATTCAGTGAAGGGACAGATGGACTGCTGTAGGACTTAAATTTTATTTTGAAATTATTGTAATTGAACTAGTCCTATAACAGTTATTTGATATTAATTTGTAACCATTCACTTATTTCAAAATCTTTTATGAAAAATTTGGTTATCTGATTTGTGAAATTATTATTTAATTAAAATTAAATTTAAGGTGTTACAAATTCCATTTCCAAGATAATAGTATTCCTAGGTACATCATCGACATGGATAGCCAACTTAAAATAACATATTCTTTGATATTCATTAAGTACAAAATTTAACCTATAATATACAGAGCTATCTATAAGCCTAATGCTCTCTCTGGATACTATCATCCTGGTTCCCTAAAAAGTTATGTAAGGATAAGTCTCTATTCTCATTACCAAACATTCATCACAATTTAGGCAAACAATGCAAGCAAATATAATACAATAATCAATCATGTCATAAAGTCATATTCAAATACATGTATCAGTCCTTAATTATTCCACTTATTACATTTTCTCTCTATTAACACTTGAAGTTCTCACTTTACACTTTCACTACCCCTATGATCCCTTGAGATCTTCCTTAGCATAGATAGTTGCTGGATAACTGTAGATACACAGATACAATGTGTGTCGACTCGGTCCCTTTTAACAAAAGCGTGGTCAGGAGTTTAAGTCAAGAAACAAGTATGAGGCTTGTAGTGCTCTTACTCTCATTTGTTATGCGCAATTCAAGAAGAGCATCCACCACCCTCATTTTTCTAAGATTTTTCAATCACCTCCATCTTTCACACCTCCAATGTACCTCTGAACTATTTATACTTGTCCTTATCATGTTCCTTCCTTATTTCATTTCTCTTTCTATATTTTCCATCTCATTTTTATATTTCTCATTATGGTCTACTCTTCTCATTAGTCATTATAACCCAAACTCATTATTTATTATATCTTGAACTTATTATTTGTATACTATCATATTATTCATCTCTTCATTTCTCTATTTTATTCAAGTTCATTACTATATCATATATCAATCAATCAATCATTGCTGATATTTGGTCACCTCCGCACTCAATTCACAATAAACATGCACATACACTCAAAACAAAGATCATACACATCATCAAACACCACAAAAAAAATGCTTTCATCCAACATTTTTATGAATACAATTATACTATATTCTTAGTAACAAGATAGAGCTCTCCTTACCTTGAAATAGAAGTTTAGTGCAGGATTTTTTAGCAATCTTTCTCAAAAGACTGGGTTCTTCCTAAATATCATAAGAGATTCTATTTAGAGGAGGAAAAATAAGAAAGTAACCAAAGGAATGAAGAACCAAGCTTCAAGAACTTACCAAGGAGCAAGTAAAATGAATTCTCAAGCTTGGATCAGAGAAAAGTAGGAGCTTTTCAAGGATTTTCTAAGAAAAGGAAGAGAGAGGTTAGAAGAAATGTAGAAGGGTCATAACTTGGATTATAATCTAAGTTTCTTAACTTGAAAACCCTTAAATACCTCTCAACTTGTGACATTCTCGTTATAGTGAGCCCTTCTCTCGCTATAGGAAAAAAACTAAACAAAACTTCTCCCTTGCTGTCTGTCATTTTAGCTACAACAAGAGTTCTTGCTATAGTGAGAACATCCTCGCTGCAACAAAAGCATCTGGAAAGAGCGTTAGAGAACTTGATTCTAGACGAATATTTCTCGCTATAGCGAGTATAGCGAGACACATATTGCTATAGTAAGAATCCTGCAACTCACACACCTAAAACTCTTCTAATTTCAAACAACATGCATTAACAGTTCATACAAAATACAAAATTAATAAATAACAAAATAGAGGTGTTACAATCCCTATTTTAGTTCATGGCATTTAGTAATATTTTAAAATTTAATTACATTTTTTATAAATTTAGATTTACTTATGGTTTGGGATTTGCGAGTGGGTATTTGGTGTTAGTGAGATTTGAGTATAAGAAGATGAAGATGAAAGAGAGGAGGAAGAGGAAGAAGTGTCAAAGATATGAGGAGGAAGACGATGAACACTACCCTATGATACACATGCACAAATTAACAAATTTTTTTAATGGAGTTAGATTTTTAAAAGAAAAAGACCAATTTAAAATTTTTTGTAAAAGTTAAAAGATTAAAATGAATCGAAAAAAGTTAACAAATGAAATTGAATTTTATCTTAAAGTTAAAGGAAAAAAAAGACTAATTTTGCCTATTTAAAATATGAGTTATATCTAAATACATCAAACATAATTTTCTTTTCTTTTACAAAAGTAAAATATCATATGTACTTTGCTGTATTGGACTCATATTTTGATAATACTCTTGCAATTTTGATAATGCCCCAACTTCATAAGTAACACATTTTGGGCAATGACAAATTTTGGGACACAGTATTCCAACTACAATATAAAACTCTTAACCAAGAATTTATTAATCTACTAAATGTATAAAAATTAATTTGATTGGTCAATGTATAATATAATTTTTTTGACATAGATGTGTATAATTTATTAATAAGTTTCAAACACGTGTTATCATCCAAACACACTCTAAGATTCAAAGGAGAGAAGTTTTGAGAGTTTTTTTTTTAATTTAAGTATAATTAGATGCTTTAGCTAACAGATTTTTGAATATAAAAGGTATAAAATAATTGAATCAATTCAAATTCTTTTTAAAAAATTTTGTATAAAAAAGCTAAACGTTTTTGGTAAAATAATATATAAGAAACAAGTTTTTCTTATTTTTAAAAATAAGTATAATTAGATGCTAAGTTAACAGGTTTTTGAATAGAAAAAGTTTAAAATAACTGAATCAATTCAATATTTTAAAAGTTTTGCATGAAAAAACCTAAAGGTTTTTGGCAAAATAATTTATAAAAAACAAGTTTTTCTTAAATTTAAAAATAAACAGACCTAATTTAGCTAAAATATTTAATAGACTAAAATGCACACGATACAAAATTAAATAGAAAATTTTAATTATTTCTTGAATTCATTCAATTATTCATAAAAAAATTTACTGGTAAACACAAAAATAAACACTTTATTATTACTTATTTTTATCATGATAAAAATAGAATTTATTTCTTTAAAGTAATCAGGTATGTAAAGTAAAAAGTATAGTCTATCCTCTATTTTCTTGTGGTTCGGTATTTTCAAAAAATTAGCAAATTTTTTATACATTCTGAAAATATTATTGAATAAAAATAAATTTTGAAATAAAAAATAAAAAATATTTTTATAATACTTTTAATTTAATAAATTTTTTACAAATAAATATTTTAATTATTAATAATAAATGTTCTATTATATTAAATAAAATTAATTAAACAAATAGAAATTTCAAAATAAAAAATAAATTATGAAAAGTTAAAAATACAAAATTAAAATTAAAATTTTAATACTTAATATATGAAATGACATGTGGCTAAGGAGTGTTACTTATTATAATTTTTTTAAAAAATAATTATTAATATTTTTAGTCTAAATTATAAGAATTAAAAATATATTTTAAAATATCTTAATTATTAATTTTTTTTCTAACCCTTATTTATTATAATATCTATGTTAGCAAAATAATCACCCACTACTTATTACTTATATAAGTGAATATATTCATATATTTAATATATAAATCACTTATTTGACCATTTAATATTATTAATATTACTTTAGCAAAATATAATTACTTTTTTTATTATTCTTAGTAAATTAATTTCTTACGGAGATAAATTGAATAAAATTCTTAAAGATAAAAACAATAGCTAAAGAAGACAATTGACTACATTATATTGAAATTTTAGTTTGATAATCAACCTTTATAAATGGTTTATGTATCAAAATTTATACCTATAATTTATATGTACTAATATTTTAACAATAACATTTTTAGTTGTTTACTAAGATAAAAAGAATTTTTTAAGAGTTAGCATTACTTTTTATCATTCTAATTATTTTTTTAGATTAAGCATTTATTTTAAAATTTATCTCTTTTTTAAAATTTTAATTACATAATAAAATATTTATTGTTTAAGAATTCACATTCGCAAATTATAGATAAAAGTTAATATGTAGAGTTATATTAAGATTGTTTTACATTCAACCAGTTAAAATCTTATTTTGCTAGCTAAAAAGTTTGTTTAATAAAAACATTATTTGGTATAGCATAAATGAGTAGCTACTAGCATATTTTAAATCCTACTTCTAACATATTTGTTTTTAGTTATTTCTTTATTTTTATTCCTTTTATTTTAAGTAATTCTTTTCTTATTCATTCAATTAAATCTTTTTTTTTTTAACTTTTGTTACATTGAAAATGAAAGAATTATGTCACAGATAATAAAACACAAATAAAAGTCACAACATTCATTATTTTATTAAACAAAAAATTATTAATCTTACCGAAAGATTTTAACAAAGGCATTACTTTTTTTCATAATAGATTATTTATAAATAAGAGTGAAATTAAAAAAATATTATCTTAATTTGAAGGTAATATATGATCTTAATTAAATTTAAATATATATATAAAAAATATATGATTGCTAAATTTCATATTTAGATCTCGTTAGTTATTATGTCCTTATTTATCATTTTATAGCTATTGTCTTATAGCTAGTTTTACAAATACATTCAATTCAGTGCGCTAATGTCTTCGTTTGTTTAACAACACATCGAAAACAAATTTTTTTTTAATAAGGTATTATTATTTCTTAATTTCTTTAAACAGCCGTGCAAAGCATGGAAGGGTTACGAAGGAGGAGAAGCTGATAAAAAAGGAGCATGAGGGAAAAATCCAAGGAAAATGATGACGTGGTGCAGTTACCAATTGGGACCTAGGCAATTGGAATCAGAATCAAGTTGGCCATAACCATAAGCCAAATGAAAGCAAAATTCCTTTGAATTCGTGAGACCATTCTCCAATCGTCACCGACCCTTCTCTTTCTCTCTACGCTTCTCCAATCACTACTCACTATTCACGCATATCCCAATCCACAACTGATTCTGATTCTGATTCTGATTCTGATTCACCTAACCCGAGAAAAAAGAAGAGAAAAAGGAACCTTTTCTGTGTTGTTTCCACATCATGGGCACCGAAACCTCGTCCGTTGAGATTTCGGAACCTTTGCTTCGCGAGGAATGTTCGAGCCAGATCGAGAAGATTCCAGAATGGAAGGAGCAAATAACGGTGAGAGGGTTGGTGGTGAGTGCGGTGTTGGGCAGCTTGTTCTGCATCATCACCCACAAACTCAACCTCACCGTTGGTATCATCCCTTCTCTCAACGTTGCTGCTGGCTTGTTGGGTTTCTTCTTTGTCAAAACTTGGACTGGCTTCTTGTCGAAGATCGGTTTTTTCACCAAACCCTTCACCCGACAAGAAAATACTGTTATTCAGACCTGTGTTGTTGCTTGCTATGGCCTTGCCTTCAGTGGTATACTCTATATTATGCTTATTTTTTCACTCATCGTTTAAGTTAAACAAAATAATGTTAGTACAATGTTGTGTTACGCATGATGTTGTGTTCTAACACTTGGTTAAGTCATAAGATTATTTGGTTCTTATACTGGTGAGATTGTTGTTGACAGGGGGGTTTGGTTCGTCCTTGATTGCAATGGATCAGAGAACATATGAACTCATTGGGCCTGATTATCCTGGTAATAGAGCTGAAGATGTTAAAAACCCAGGCTTGGGTTGGATGATGGGTTTCATGTTTGTCGTCGGTTTCCTTGGACTTTTTAGTCTTGTGCCACTTCGTAAGGTATTCTCTGTGATTCTTTGTTATTACGTTGGGTTGGGTTTGCTAGATTCTGTTTCTGTCTTTCTTCTTCACTTTTTCTTATCAATAGGAAGTTATATTTTGAAGGAATGAATAGACAGCACAAGCTGGAGAATGAAATAAGATATCTCAGGATTTTGCTCGTTTTGATCTGGAAGATCAAATGATAAAATAATATGTGGTTAAGCTTTTGGTTCTTAATCATTTTAGCTATTGTTCTTTAGTTATGGAGTTTTGTTATAATTATTGATATGGTGAATATACTTTTCTACGTCAACTTCCATGTTTGTGGTTTTAGTATTGAAGATCTTACATTCTATCAGAGCACTTATATACTCATTCCGGTCCTATTTATAAGAAACAAACAAATAATTTATCACGACCAATAAAAAGTAATCATATGTTATAAATTTATAGTATAAATCCAAAAATACCTGTAACATTAGATCGTCAAATTAATAATTTATATATTAAATGAATTATGAATGAATATATCCACATATATAGGTAATAAGTGAGTGTTTTGTTGACACAAATTTCATGATAAATAATGATATAAAAAGAATTCAGCAATTAATACATTTGAAAATGAATTTTTGTTTCTTATAATTTGGAACAAAAAAATATTGATAGTTGTTTCATACAAATAGGAGTGGAAGGAATATTTGTTTATACTTTTTGTGAAAATATACAAAAGGTTGTTTGAGTATGTTTGGTTGTCTTATGTACCATAAATAATGTTCTCTTCATTCTGTTCATTTTGCTGCTTCAGCTGAAATCACAGACTTTTAAGGAGCCATATATGTGGTCCAGGTGACATGAATTATTTATTAATTTTTGGGCAAACATATGAATATTTTATCTGTTGAGAGGGATAAAAAGTTTTTTCAAATATATGGCTGTTGATGTTAAATACTAAATGGGAAAGTTAACAGAGAGGAGTTATGTAATTTAATAATGCTTTTAACTTTTCAAATGGTTTTTATCCCTCAAAAATCAGACTTTTAAGGAGCCATATATGTGGTCCAGGTGATACGAAATATTTATTAATTTTTGGGCAAACATATGAATATTTTATCTGTTGAGAGGGATGAAAAGTTTGTTCAAATATATGGCTGTTGATGTTAAATACTAAATGGGAAAGTTTATGCAGAGAGGAGTTATGTAATTTAATAATGCTTTTAACTTTTCAAATGATTTTTATCCCACAAAAATCAAATGGGATTTATATAGTTGTACATCTATGATGTGAAAAGTGAATAAAAGAGTGGAACTGGGGGGAGTGCAAATTTTGGCTATGGTTTTTTTCACTCCATATATAGGGTTTAGGTGTAATCTCTGTTTACTTCAATCTATAGCATAATTGAAATATCATTTCCTTTGCCAATGTATCGTGACCTCTGTGAATGCAATTTCAGGTTATGGTTTTGGATTACAAGCTTACATATCCCAGTGGGACAGCCACAGCAATGCTAATTAACAGTTTCCATACAAAATCTGGAGCAGAACTTGCAGGGTATACATTACTAGTTATGTTCATTTAAGCACTCAGAAACTATTTTTTATCTTACAATCTCATACAGGTCATGGCACTTTGTTGCTTAACTTTTCTGGTTATTAATCTGAGTTTGTGGAAACACCTTAAACCTTTTGTATTTTGATTTTTTGTTACTACGTTCTTTCCATTTTATATTTTTTAATTTATTGTCTTTGATAATCTTACAATACAGGAACCAAGTTCGGCAGCTTGGGAAGTATTTAAGCATTAGTTTCTGCTGGAGTTGCTTTAAGTGGTTCTTCAGTGGTATTGGGGATTCATGTGGATTTGACAACTTCCCTAGCTTTGGTTTGACACTATTTAAGAACTCGTAAGCCTCTTGTGATTCTGACTCTCTCTTAACTGAATTCACTTTCCACTTACATCAAATTGTGCTGCAGCTTTTCTTGGGTATCACATATATATGTTAACATTTGTACCCTTTTTATTATGTGCATACCTTTATACATTTGGTAGCCCTAGAATCTAATTTACTGCAATGTAACTGTGAATATGAACAAAGGCAACACAACCGAAGATAATGAAAGACTTTTCATAGTAGAGATGGAAGGAAAGAAATAAGTTTTTGCCTATACCAGGCTAACACCATCCAAAACCTGATAAGTTAACCTACTTATCAGATAGGTAGCAGTTAAAACAGCTTTTCCCAAAAAGTTTTGGAACAAACATTTGAAATAGCAAAGCTTTATCAACTTCAAAGAGTGCCATAAAAAATTGTAGGGTATTTACGCATTTCAGCCTATAAATAACTCCATTTTGTTGGAGAAATTTGAAAAAATAAACTGATTCATGTATTTTCCATTATATGAGCACAATCTCTTAGTTGATCTTTTGAACTGAGTTTTAACCATCTGATAAAAAGTTAGACAATTGAAAAACCTCAGCTCTGTCCTTCACAAGGTAACTCCTTGTAACTCGAGTATAGTCATCAAGAAACAAACCACCTTCCACCAGAAATATTAAAACAGGGACAAGTTCCCAAACTTCAGAATGAACAAGTTCAAAGTCTCACTTTTATTATTACTAGTCAGAATAGTTGGGTGATGGTTTTTTGCAAATTGACACACATCACAACTAAAGGACTTACGGACTTAATAGACTCTAAAATGAACAAATGTTGAAACAATAACCTAAGAGTACTGAAAGGAGGATGTCCTAGATGCTTATACTGAAGCCAATTTGAGAAGCCTTAGACTCAGTTTCTCCAATGATAGGAAGTGGAAACCTTCAGTCTGATATTACTTTTAGTTTCTTCATGTTGCAAGCAATATAGCCCTTCCTGTTCCTTAGCAACTCCAGTCATCCTCCCCATGGCAAGATCTTAAAAGACACAATGTGAAGGAAAGAATGTTACTGCACATCTCATAGCATGAGCAAGTTTGTGTATAGAAATAGTATTATTTGAGAGTGAAGGGAGATGAAGCATGTTTTGTAAGTGAATGGAGGGTTGGAGTTGAATGTTATCACATCTAACAACTGGAGTATGTGACCCGTTAGCAACAATAATAAAATGATTACCAAACAATGTAGAGTGGGTGGAAAAATATGTGGAAGAAGGGGTCATATGATTAATAGCACCAAAATCAATAATCCAAAGATCTTGAGAGACAGTACTAGAAATATTAGAAGATAATAATAAACTGGGATTCTTACCAGTCATTGCTAGAAAACAAGAGCTAGATGGCTTACTCAACAAATCCATGAGAGTATGCAAACTTTTTAGCTTCACTTTACTGAGTGCTTGAACCTTCTCTTCTCATGTAAGGGCTGGTTGACCATTTAAAACCTGGAGAACTTGGTCCTGTAGAAGGTCCTTGAGTCCTTCTAAGTGGTTAAGGACCTATGCATTGTGTGGCCGGATTTTGTGCAATGAGAGCACCAGTGATCCTCTTGGTTAGAATTGGTAGGAGCCTTTCTTGCTTGAAAGAGAAGGTACTAAATTTGGGACCCTTGCTAGAAACCAAGGCACAATCCTCAATGGGTTTCTCATTTAACATGACTATCTTACAATCACCCTCCCTCGAACAATATAAAAAACTTGTGAAAGTGAAGCTTGTCTTTACCTATAATCTGTGCCTGAATGGGGTTGTACATGGGATTCATGCTTGTGGGAAACTTGAAAGCTCTTGATCTTTTGGTAAGTTTGGACAATGCAGTGACATCCTTAGTTCCTTACTACAGTTTGTTTATATATATATATATATATATATATATATTGATGTAATTCTACCTAGGAGCCAATCAAGCGCTCATAGTATTTTGTTTCTGAAAGGCTACGTTGTTTGGTGTTGAAAATTTTACTCTCCAACTTGAATGACAAGTGGAGACTTGACTGTGGTCCTCCTGATCAGTTGTGAATTTGTTTTTCAATTTTGAATCTGAGTGATTTATTAGTGAGCCTCTGGTAGAAGGTATCAAAGAACACAAATATTGAATGCTAGCACCTCTATTATCTATTTGTGATGATACAGGTATTTGGTGATTCTTACTGACAGTGCATTATAAAAGACAACTACTTCCCTATTAAGTTAACCTAATTTTTTTTCTTAATTTTTAAACAGTTGCTTTTTGTTTTATTATACAGTGTTTTGTATTTCTTAAGTCTAACTGCCCTTCCCAATGCAGCCTGAAACAAATATTTCTTCATTTACACCATATCAAAAATCAAAATTTTGTAGTACGTCCCTATTTATTCTGAATTGGTAACTGCTATGTCTTCTGTGGAACAAATGTGGAGGATTATGAGGGTACAAGTAATTTTCCAGATACTAAAATGACATTGCTTTTCATGCAGATTCTACTTTGACTTCAGTCCAACTTATGTTGGGTGTGGTCTTATCTGTCCTCACCTAGTCAATTGTTCAGTTCTCCTGGGAGCTATTATATCATGGGGCTTTCTGTGGCCTTTTGTCTCTCAGCATGCTGGGGACTGGTATCCAGCTGACCTTGGTAGCAATGATTTCAAAGGTCTTTATGGATACAAGGTATGGCTAAGCAAATATACTTGCTGGACACATCTTTATGTAAACAGTACTTGTGATCTATACATGAAGCTCTATGCTTGAATAGAGGAAAACAATGCCTTCATGTTTTATCTTAAATGCAAGTCTAAATTTTAACTATCAAATATCTTGACTAACTCAACATGGGAACCAAGCTCGAGCATCGTACTACTTATTAATTAAAACTATCAAATGTAATACATTATATATCTTCTTCAGTTCTTCTATGTGTCTTAACTTGCAAGTTCAAAAGAAAACAGTTAATAACACATATTGAGGAATATTATATCATTATCAACATTGGAATTTTAAATTATACTTTCATCTTGTTGCTTAGTACAATACAGATCATGTTTTCATTTTCCATGTAGAGCTGTCATTGTTTTGACTTAATTTTGGTCTGAAACATGTTTTGCCAGCCTGAACTTTTTTCAGGGTTTTTCCAAGCTTTTAATGTCTTAAAAAGGTTTACTTGTATGATCAGCTTAGCTTCGTTACATCCTTACTCCAAAGCATTTTTCTTGTTAAGTACTTATTCTTCTAGTAATTTTTCTCTTCATAGGTTAGTTTCTATATTCTGTTATAATTTTGCAGTATTCTTTTACTTATCATGTTTTGTGCAGGTGTTCATATCAATTGCTCTTATTTTAGGGGATGGTATTTACAATCTGATAAAGATTATATTGATAACCATTAGGGAGATGTGGAGGACAAGCTCCCAACAGAACAGCCTTCCTGTTGTGACAGGGGTTCATGGTGAGTATGATAATCATAAAATACTTTCTAAATATTTCTTACAAATGAGGTTTCTTTCTCTTGTTTTCTTTTAATAAAGTTTTGGTGAAGAAGGTGGATGACATGACTTTAGTTTGGTAAAATGGTAGAGGGAGACCTAGAAGAACTTTAGAAGGAATTATTAAAAGAAATCTAATGATAAATAATATTTCTGAGAATTTGGTTTTTGATTGAGGTCAATGTTATTGTGTGACCCATGTAGTCAACAAGATAACGCTTGGTTGTTGTTGTAAAATAAAGTTCTGTTTGGTATATGCGAAATCATTTCCCATGCAGGACTATTTAAATATTGTCAACTTGCTATCCATGTGTCTTATATTTTACCAATAAGTTACTTTCGTCCTGACCTATCTTGATCTGCATGGCAGCTTGCCTCTTAATGTAAAAAATTGGTTGCATTGTGGAAAACAACTGAACTGGATGGAGTTGATTAACTAAATTGAAAATCATATCTGATTATGAGTCTGTTTGTTTAGATTTTTTTCTCAAAAAAAGTACTTTTTGAAAATAATTGCTTCAGTTTTTTAAATTGAAAATAATCTGATTATAGCATTTTTTGAGAAGCTATTCAAAATAGCTTCTAGAAAAAATCTGAAATCATAACTACCCACTAAAATAAAAAGTGCTTTTTATAATTGTAAAAACACAAACAGATTAACTTATAATTTTTATAAAACCTCTAAAAGTAAATCACTTTTTTCAAAAGCTGAAATAAACGGGCCCTATCTCCACCCAGAGTTATCAGTTGAAACTGGTGGTATTAAGGATATTACATTGATGTTAACCTTTGGTACTGCTGCTAATTCTTTTCTATCCATAGTCAAAAAGTTAACCATCACAATATTTGAAAATGAAGCCATGTTGTATAGATTGATCTGGTATCTGATTACTAGTATAACCCAATTAAGAATAACTCAGGTCTGTGTTCTTGCTCCTCTGGCCGAGCTCTGGTATGTGTGTAATTTATAAAAGTTGATTATTTCCATATTCTTTTTCTCAGAGGATGATAGTTCTCTGCAATCAGAACAAAAGATAAGGGATGAAACATTTTTGAAGGACAGGATACCCACCTGGTTTGCAGCCTCAGGATATGTTTGCTTGGCTGCAATATCCATTGCAACGATACCAATTATTTTCCCTCCTCTCAAATGGTACTTGGTATTGTGCTGCTACATCCTTGCCCCTGCCCTTGCCTTTTGCAACTCTTATGGTTGTGGGCTCACAGATTGGAGTCTAGCATCCACTTATGGAAAGATTGGTCTTTTCATCATTGCAGCAGCAGTTGGCCAAAATGGCGGTGTAATAGCTGGGGTAGCATCTTCTGCTGTGATGATGTCCATTGTTGCAACTGCTGCTGATCTCATGCAAGATTTCAAGACAGGTTACCTCACCCTCTCATCACCAAAGTCCATGTTTGTGAGTCAGTTGATAGGAACAGCCATGGGTTGCATAATTGCTCCTCTCACATTCTGGATGTTTTGGACTGCCTTTGATATTGGTTCACCTGATGGCCCCTACAAAGCACCATATGCCGTTATATTCAGGGAAATGGCCATACTAGGCGTGGAGGGATTCTCAGAGCTTCCAAAGTATTGCCTGGAAATGTGTGGTGGTTTCTTTGCAGCAGCCCTGGTTATTAATCTTCTAAGGGATGCGACTCCGAAGAAGTTTTCACAATATATACCTATCCCAATGGCAATGGCAGTTCCTTTTTACATTGGTGCTTACTTTGCAATTGATATGTTTGTTGGAACTGTGATATTGTTTGTATGGGAGCGGTGGAATAGAAAGGATGCAGAGGACTATGCTGGAGCAGTTGCTTCTGGTTTGATATGTGGTGATGGGATATGGACAATTCCTTCTGCAGTTCTTTCTATTTTGAGGATCGATCCCCCCATCTGTATGTACTTTGGGCCTTCTGCAAGTATCTGAAATAAGCAACTTTTGGCTGTGTTTGGATTGTTGCAAAGTGATGGAATAGAATGGAATTTAAAATGTTCCATATTTCGAATTTGTTAAATTAGAATAGAATGGAAATGGATCCAATCCATACCATCCAAAATTCTAATTTTTATTCCTTCTCAATTTGAGGATATGCGATGGAACCAAACTGAGTTTCCATTTCGTTGTAATATATCCCAACAATAGAGTGGTAATTTTAGTTCATTCTATTGCATTTCACTTTGTTTATTATTAGATATCTAAACACAGCCAATTTTCAGTGAACATGTTAAACTACGATGTATTTTTATTTGCCTCGTCTGTAAATAATTGGATATAAGATCCCAGGAATGTCTACATTCCGTTTCCTCTGTATTTCATTTCATGAATCTACGTGAATATTAGAAAATATTTCATCCCTCAAGTGCCTTGGGAAAAATGAAAGGCATAGAGAGGGGGGGTCCCTTGACCTTAATTTTCTTCTTTTGGCATTTATTTATTGCACATTTCTTTCCCTTCAATGTTAAATTTTTAGAACAGAAAATCATGTGAATATGATTCCTACAACCGGGGTAATATTACAAAACATGTCTGAACGAAAATACGTAACTATTTATAATAAAATATTACCTAGTCTTTTACACATTAAAAAATTAATATTTGAATTTAACCAATTTGGTGGAAAATTAAATTAGATCATATAGGCAAATCTTGCAAAAAAAATAGTGATATCAGGTAAACAATTTAACAACACTTTTTTATTCAAATAATATTTTAAAAATAATTTTTTTAAAATAAGCTTAATTTAAAACTAATTTCTTTATTTAAGGTGCTTTTTTATAATATAAGTATTCGTATTGTACTTGCATGGACGATAATATATTTTTATTATTATTTTAATAGACTATTGTCTCACTATCTTTGACAAATCAGATTATTGGTAATGATTAATTAGGAGAGTGAATTAAAATAATATAATATTTAATAAAAACAAAAACATTGAAATATAGATATATAAAATTTATTAGGTTGTAGTATACTAAAATAAAACCAAAACCATGAGTTTAAATAAATTTGAAAAAGGTAACACCAGTAAATAAAAAAATTAGATTTTGAAATAATTCAAATTATAAAATAAATCATTGTTAATATGATATGAAGAGGGAAGTTAATATAAATAAAAAAATTAAGTTTAATGTAGGTAAATTTAATCAACCAGGTTGTAGTACTTGAAATTAAATATACAGTTTAAAATTTTTAACGAAATAGGTAAATACATAAATTGATAAAAAAAAAAAAAGAGACTAATATTAATGAGGAGAATGAAATGAATTTATAAACTTAAAAATATAAAAATTTAATAAAGCAATAACGTAGTTAAATTCTATTTTTCAAGTTCTTCCAGAGTAAAATAGAATATGAATTTTATCATCTTTGTTAAAAAATATGTAATAGCATTAAAAAAAATAATGTCATTTATTATATATTGCAAACAACTGGACCATTGTTAAATAAGAATTAATAGTCAGATTAATTTATAAACTATTACATAAAATAGATAAATATAAATTAAGAGTTACTAAAAAAATAAATAAACTTAACTACAATAAAATTTAATAAAACAAGAATGTAGTTAAATTAGATTTGTTAGGTCTTGTAGACTAAAATACAATAATTAGTAAATATTTTATTAAAAAATTACGTTAATAAAAATATACATATATATTAAAATTTTTAAAATATTTAACCATTGTTAAATAATAAATAAGTGACTCAAAATATAAAAAAAATTATTTAAATCATTTTAACTTAAATGTATGTAATTTTTTTTTTTAATGAATAGGGCTTAAAAATCCAAAGATCACAAACAAATTAGATTGTTAATCTAGAAGTCCGAGCACTTAGAGTGTCCAATCTTAAGAAAGACACTAAAAAAGGGGATGGTAAACCTAATATTTCTTAACAAACTCATAACTTCACTATTAAAACATGAAAAAGAGGATGATTACAACTTTGGAGATTAACAACGAAAGATATGACCTCATTTGAGTTACATTCAATCCAAATTAAGTGGATCTTTTTAGAGATGATAAGATGAAAGCCCTAGCAAATCTCCTAAGATGAGGCCACTACAGCTAGTCATCCCAACATCTTGAAGAATTGCACCATCAACATTGAGTTTAAGATGCATACTCATAGGAGATTATCATCTAGTGAGTCTTTCTATTAACATCCAGGGCAACTCCTTATGTATTGTCTTGCCACATAGTTAAAATCAGAATAAATTTTTTAAAAAAGTGACACACCAGACAAAGGAGAGTTTTGGAAAATCTTTATTTCTGTTATACCACAAGTTCCATACCACTATACCAAACAATAAGCTCCAAAGAGGATGTGAATGGAAATTAGATTTGGACAAATTAAAATCAAGTTAGTTAGACAATCCTATACTGTAAAATAAAACCCAGCTGTCAAGGAGAAGAAGCTAGTTCCAAATGTGCCTAGCAAACTAACAGTCTCTAAGGATATGCATAACAATTTCAGCTACAAAATTACACCTATAAGAAAGTAAAGCTAGTTCCAATCACTATTCTAAGAAAGTAAAGCTACAAGCTCCTATAAGTTAGAGTTAAGAATAGACTGGAAGACAAATTGTTTAAGATTCAAGTTGGGATGGACCCAATTATCCCAAAATGTATGTAACTTTTATTTATTAAGTTGTAGTTTGTAAAATGTTTATGTGAAGTTAACATGAAATATATGTTTGTAAAAAAACTTATTAATAGGAACATTGTGATAAAAGTTAAAATAAAAATAATAATTTTAGATAACTAAAATTTAGAAATAGTTGATATACATCTCCATGATTTAAAATAATTTCAAAACGTTGAGAATAAAAATAGAGATTAAAATATACATCTCCATGATTTATCTAATTTATAGTATATGTATATAAATTCAAAAATCAACTATATTATCTTTCAGCAGAGTAAATTTCTATCTAAAATTTAATGTAATTAAAATAAAATGGCCAACGACCTATATTACAAATACTCCAAATCAATGATTACAAGATTACTGGATATTATAAATTTCACAATTGATATCAAAATATTTACATATCCTTAAAATTGAAGCTGACTAAAAAGATTACAATCTTCAGAATAATTAAATTCTAGCATAGCAGTAATTTCTACAACTTCACCGAGGATATGATTCTAGAATAAATCAACCTTCCTTTATTCTTTAATTTCATTTCTTGAAAAATAATTCGTAAGGGTAAGTATTCCTGCCCCTACTAATTCTTTTATTTATAAATCATTCAAAATAATATAGGAAATGTAAATTAGTGCCAAATATAATAAATAGTATTTGTTCCAATGTTTCATTAACAAAATCATAGTAGCAACAATCATATCATTCATACTTTAAATTACATGATATGCACACTAAGATAATACCAATTCATATATTATATTAACAAATGTTACAGTAAATCAAATAGATTATCAATCATATCATCATTAATTTTAAATACACACTAGGTTTATATCATTTCATAAATTCTCACACCGAGCAGTGCGTCATGATACATGCATTATAACAATATTAATTAATATATTACAATACATTAATTACACCCATCGATGTATTACAATACATGTATTATAATCATACTAATCAGTTTGTTATGATTCACATCTTACAAACATACATCTCACAATTTCATATATAGTTTGAGAGAGTTTTATTTAAGAAGAGAAGGTGAGAGAATAAAGAAAAATGAGAGGGAACAACAATAAATTTTCTAGGACAAAAATTCTTTAAATACTCCTCAAACTTACAACTTTCTAAGTCTTTTAATTATTTTTTTTTCATGACACTTACACAAATCATAGTCATGCATAAATTATTATAATTTTTCATGATAACATCTAAATAAAAATAGCTGAGATTTAATGCATGGTAGAGTTTTTATTGAAATTATATTATCATGCGCAAAAATAACATGTATAATTCCAGTGTTTATCAAATTAGGGAGAAAAAAAGAGTCAAGTCAAACGAGTATTTCTACTTGTTACTCATCTTTCTCGGATAGAATGATGAAATACGATCAAGTTTTTGTGCTACATAACCTAAGAATATTGGTGGGGGGAGGGGGGGAGAAGACACATTATGGTTATAAGAAAAATATAATGCTTAAATAGAAAATCAGATGTAGACGTTAGTTTAAAAGTGTTGCTATTACGAAATAATTTTACAAAAATACCTCACGAACTTACATAAATTTGCATACAATAATGTCAATAAAAAAGAATAATAATTAATTTCATTTTTGTTAGATATTTGAAAAATATTTATAATTAAAACTAAAATTTTAAATAAATAATTTTGATGTAATTTTATACATATGTTATAATATAATTTATTTTATTATATTTTCTTTAAAGTATTTTATAATATTATTTATGTTAAAAATATATTTTAATTAGTAAATTATGAATAACTACTGTAAGTTATAAAAATTTAGCTATCTAACGTGTACATTAATTAAAATTATTGCATAAAAAATAAAAAAGATGAGAAATATGAATATTAAATAGATATCTCCTAAAGGTTGGGTAATAATAAACAAAATTCTCTCAAAAGAAAGAACTATGAAAAGAAGGATTATAAAAGAAAATTGATAGCTGTGATAAGAACTAAACTCAGGCAAATTCGATAAAAGTAGTTAACGATTTTCGCACACTTGTGGAAGTAAAAATAGGTACCATTATTATGCATAAATAAGTATCATTTGCATAAAAAAATTACAATTATTTTTTATTAAAATTTAATAAAATTTATAAATTTGACAGAACAGCACTGTATTTAAAATTAATATTTATATAAAAGTCTAAGAGCTCATTAAAGATCAAACAATTTTCTTATAAGAATAAGATTCAATTGTATTAATACACCTGTATTGGTTTTAAAAAATAATTATTTGACAGCAAAAAAAATTAATTATTTTATTATATTAGAAATTAAAATACCTCATCTCTTATACAAAAGTTTTTTTTACTAACCAGACATTAACATATCTCAAGATCTCTATTTCTTTTTAATGGAAAATATTGTATATGCTATGAGAATACACATACACATAATTGTCTCATGCCATATCATGACAATGACTATAAAAATTATTAATAATTTTTTTTTATAGAAACTAACTTGTTGAGAGAAGTGAAAATGAAAAGTTTAAAATAATTTTTTTTATATTGATTCGTTGTAATAAATTATTTTACAAAAAATTTAAATTTACAATGAAAGAAGTTAGTTTCTAAACTTAAAATTTTATAGAAATAATTTTAAAGTTTTGTTTGAGAGAGAGTCTA